AAAAAAGAATCAAATGCAGAAACATATGGAGGAAACCCAATGCCCACCCAGAACAAGGGCAGAGGACACTAGCTCAGCTGAAATGTATGAATTAACAGTGTTGGAAGTAAAGAAACAATAGCAGAAAGGTATAGAGAAACTCAGAGCAGAATTAATTTCTGAAATAAAAAGAGAAATCTCTGAATTCATAGCATCTGAAGTAAAGAATCAAACACAGAAACATATAAAGGAAACCCAATCTGAAAAAAAACTCTGCAGTAAAAAAATTAATAATTGCTTCTAAAGAAGACATTGATTAAAAAAATAGAGATTAGAAATATGACAGATTCCTTCAATGAGCAATACATGAAAGAAATAGATCGCATGAAGCAGAGTCAGAGACATAGAGGAACTTAAAATCTCAATCACAAGCCTGCAAAACCATTTCAGTGAAAAAGAAGACGGAGTTTCAGATCTTGAAGATGCGTGCAGCTAGTGAAAAGGTAAGAAAGGATCTCTTAAAAACAACTAGGATGCAGGAAAAAAATAATCCATCACTTGCAAGACTATGCAAACATGAACAACATGAGACTAATAGGCATCAATGAGAAAGACGAAGTCAATAAAAATGATATAACAAGAATATGGGCAGAAGTAATAGAAAACTTCCCAAATATGGAGACAATATGCAGAAACATATAAAGGAAACCCATTGCCCACCAAGAACAAGGGCAGAGCTGAAATGTATGAATTAATAGTGTTGGAAGTAAAGAAACAACAGCAGAAAGATATAAAGGAACAATCTGACATTCAGTAACTGAAGTATATAGAACTTCAAATAACATCAGCCTAGTTAAAACCATACCCAGACATATAATAATCAAGATCCCAGAAATTCAGCATAGGAACAGTATACTAAAAGCCACTAAAGCAAAGAAACAGATCACATTTAAAGGAAAACCAGAATAACGGCAAAGTTCTCTTCACAAACCATCAAGTCAAGAAGAGCATGGAGCAAAGTACTTCAAGTCTTGCAAGAAAGCAAATTCCAACCCAGACTGATATATCCTGAAAAACTATCTTTCAAATATAATGGAGAAGTGAAATATTTCCAAGACAAAGAACAACTAAAGAAATTCATGATGACAAAGCCAAGCCTACACAGACTACTAAATGATGTTCTGGAGAGGGAGCAAATTGATCACAGCCCCATGAATGAGAA